CACACTTTTCATTCCATCCATCAATGTAGTCCTACAAATGTAAATTATATCGAAGTAAGCCATATTGCAACATATCTATCGACAATAGTCCATGTTTTGTGGCCTAAATAAATGTGCAAAGCGCCCTTATCATTTAGTAAAAATTTACGCGACTAGAACAAATTGGAACTCTATCCCTACAAACATTTCACTTCAAATATTAAGATTTCGATCGTTTCTCTTGGGCTAGCAAGAAATAATAATAAATCTCTAAAAATTCGAAATCGGACTTTTTACATATAGGTTATGAAAACCCTTATCTTATTAGGATTGGTAAACCTAACTTTTGTAAGCTCAAAGTCAATTAATTCACTTTTACTTGTAATAGTAATCTTTCCAGCACCGTTTGTATGAATATGTTTTTTGTTTTGTTTATCTCCCAGTCTCAAAAAGAACATGACTTTCTTGTCTAATTCACCACAGCCAAAGGCTTTAGAATCCCTCGATCCCACAAATAGATTTTACACCAGCATATGTAGCAAGACTGCAAGTAAATTAACGTTGATAATTCAACTGATTAAACTGAATGCTAAATTCACAAGCTTTGCAGTGAAAATCAAATCAATTTAAACCTTAAAGAAGAGTAATGAAAAGTCCACATTGCAAGAATCGAGATTGGCCAATAATACAATCCTTCAATTAAACTTTAAACATTAAAAAATACTTGAGAATGGGGCGAGCAAAGTTATTTTTGTCATCAAATATGTTTGAACAACTTATTTTTATATCAACTTTTTTCAAAAGTAACTCTTATGATGCTCTAAAATAAGTAACTTATAAATAAATTTACTGTCAAATGTTTCAAGTTTAGGTGACATGCTTGATTCTATATATGACACATATAGTAGCTTTGGCACAGGAGAAAATAAAACTAAAATGAACAATCGACTTCGAGGTTAGTTAAGGTTCATACATTATCGTGCTCACACAAAATGCACATACTTAAATACGGGAGAAAATTGTTATATGTCATCGGCTATATGGTGGACACAGAAAAGGGATAGTGAAATTGTTGAAGCTGACTATGTTAGAAAGTCCTTGCTTGAGCTGACAAGAAATCCGTCTTGGGAGTGGCCTGAGATAGCTATAGTGTCTGAGAATGACATCATGTATCAGAACTACTTTCACCACCCGGGGCGGAGCCAACTAGTTGAACTAGGGAGGTCCTGGAGTTGAAGGGGTGGGAGCCCACGGGCTGCCCCCGAAATTTTTTTTGAAACATTATGTGTTAAAATGAGGAAAGTTTGTATTTTGTGAGAAAGAAAGAAAACAACGGAACATAAAT